TTGTAACTTTCTGGTCACTAGCTCCTGGTGTGAACACTTGTGTGGCCATGGGTGAGCAGAGTTGATTATCGGATTGCTATCCAGTTTGATCCTTGCTTGCAAAAGTTCAAAATGGCCGCATTGTGTTAGGCCAGTTGATGATTCAGCCGTTCGATCTTCTTCCTTTTTTGCTGTTTTTGTGCAACTTTTTCTAGTCAATAGTCAGTCCTTTGCTTTATCCTTTCCTCTGAAACTCAGGTTTCCGAATAATCATTAGCATCTGTTTCATTTAGTCTCTCGTGTCTTTGTTATTGAGGGTTTGACTAGTGTGTGTCTGCCTATTTGGCCATCTTACTGGACATCCTAATGTTCTCTTTTTTTTCCTAGTTCAGGATTCAATCTATGATCTAACATTACATTTAGTTGTTGTGCCTCCTTATAAAAAAATAGGAGCCCATTGTCGTAGCCACCCCATATAGGGTTTCTGAGACAGAAAATCTTTATGGGAGTAGACAACATCTTCTTTCATGCCTCTCTGGTATCCTTTAATATGTGGCAATTCTTCAGTTATTGTCTTTGATTGCCTTGATATATTTGAATAATAGTAGCCAGTTATTTTGTATTGTTGTTGTTGTTAGGTGTCATTGAGTCAGTTCCAATTTATGGGGACCTTATGCACAACACTGCCTAGTTCTGCACCATCCACATAGTTGTTGTTCCACGTGGGCCCATTGCTGCTGTGGCAATCCGTCTCGTGGATAGGGGTTCATCCTCTTTTTCATTGACCTTCTACTTTGCCTGTCTTGATGTCCTTCTTCAGGGAATGGTCCCTCCTGATAATATGGCCAAAGCAGGAGAGACAAAGTCTTACCATCCTGGCTTATCTGGAGCATTCTGGCTGTACTTCTTTCAACACAGATTTGCTTGTTATTCTAACAGTTTATGGTACTTTTTTTATTTTCTTCAGAACCATAACTCATTTTATATAGAGGTCATCAGTTTGAGTTTATCCTGCTGTGGCGCTTTGGGTTAATGCACCAGACTGCAAAACTGTTTGAACTGCAAAGTAGGCAGTTCAAGCTCACCAGCTGCTCCTCAGAAACCCTATACAGGGTCGCTATGGGTCGGAACTCACTCGACAGCACTTAACAACAACAATGTTTTCTCATGATTAAAAATGTTATGCATTCTTGTAAGAATATCATAGAATTGATGTATGTGCTTTATAACAAAAGTGCATTATTAACAAAAGATAAATGATATTGCCTTTTAATCTTCATCACTTGGTTAGATTTTTCCCATTATATAGCTGCTATTTTTTTTTTTTGCTTCATAATTAATAATAACTTTGTAAGAAGAAATCTTGAAACTATGCCAATATTTTGCTGCTTATCATGTTTTGTCTCAATATCTGTAGCACCTATTGGTAACTCAGGGAGTGCGGTGGCTCTGTAGAATGAGCCCTGGGCTGCAATCACAAGGTTGGTGGCTGAGGTTCACCAGCAGCTCTTCTGGAGAAAGATGAGACTTTCTGCTTCTGCAAAGATTTATAGCCTTGGAAGTCCTTTATAGGGTTGCTATGAGTTAGAACTGACTTTACAGCACTGAACAACAACATTGATAATTCCTACTGTAGCAATTACTACTGTGTTTTTTGTTTTAATCTACTAGTGACTTTTGATTTTCAATAGTCATTAGTTTGAATTCTACTCTAATGAAGAATTGGCCTTTCCTCCATTTATTGAACTATTCTTTGGTTGGTAGTTGTGTTCCACTGATAATCGTTCCAAGGCTATAAATCTTTCTGGAAGTAGAAAGTTTCATGTTTCTCTCACTGAGCAACTGGTAGATTTGAACTTCTGACCTTGCATTAACTAGCACAGCTCGTAATCCACTACCCTACCAGATCTCCTTTGTTGTTGTAAAGTGCCATTGAATCAGTTCCAACCCATAGCAACCCTGTTTAGAGTTTCCGAGGAGTGGTTGGTGAGCTTGAACCGCCAACCTTGCAGTTCAAATGGCTTCGCAGTTTGACGTGTTAACCCACAGTACTACACCGGGTCTCCATTAGTAGATACTGATATTTGAACTTATACTTTCTTTTAAAAAAGAGTTATGATATATCTTTGTTTACGTATTTATTTACTGATTTATTTTACATAAGTTACTTTATTGTGTGGTTTATGCATGCTGTTGTTGTTTGTTACCATCAAGTCAATTTTCATGTCATAGTCACCCCAGGTGACAGAACAGAACCGCTGTAGCTTTAAGGTTCGCAACTGAGTGCTTAACTATTGCTCCTTCAGGACTCCTTAAGACTATATGAATTATTTTTTTAACTCAACATACAAGTCTATAGTTTTTTGTTTTGTTTTTTTAACGGAATTTGCATGTTTTCTTTCATATTTTTTGTTTTATATATCTTTGTTATTTGCAACATATTTTTGTACTTCTCCTCCCCCTTCGTTAATTTGGAGGCAACATGTGAATTTTCATCGTAAATTTAATTCTTCTTTCTTCACTTTCTTCAGGTCTTTAGCTACTGTCATCTTCTCAGTGAACTCTCATCCCCCTGATATTCCCAACCTCTCCCCCAACTTTTTAAAATCAAAGTCCTTATGACTATTTAATACACTTTGTATTTAACTTACTGAACTTGTTGATTGTTTTTTCACCCAGAAGAGTATAAACTTCCTGAGGACAAGAATTTGTGTCTGTTTTGTTACGCTATGTACTGATGAAAAGGGCAAACAATAAACTTTCGTTTTGAGGCTCTATTTCTCTAATTGTCAGTGTAAAGAATGAAACAGTATATTTGTCTTTCTCAGCATTGATTTTCACTTTTTCTCATTATCCCTTGGGATAATGAGTCCTGGTGGTGCAGTGGTCAAGCACTCAACTGCTAACCATTAGTTCTTCAGTTTGAAATCACCAGCTGCTCTTTGGGAGAAAAGACCTGGCGATCTGTTCCCATAAAGATTTCATCCTAGGAAACTATGGGTCAGTTCTCTTCTGTCCTACGGGTCACTATGAGTTGGAATCAGGGGCACACAGCAGTACCTGTTAGACCTTAAACATATACTGTGGGGTTTTCTTTTTATTTCTTTCTGTCTTAACTGTATACCTGCCTTTTCCTTTTTGTTTATTTTAAGGGTATAGTCTATATGAGAGAATTAGTCATCCATGTTTGTATCTTCTTAGTTAAATGTTACAAAGTTTGGTTGTTGTTTTTTTTTCATTTCATTGCTTTAATATTTTTATTGACAAGATAAATAGGGAAAAATACTTAAAAGCAAAGGTCAATTCTTAGGTCTCATTTACTTGCTTATTTCACTCATTTGTATTAAATATGCCTTTTCCTAATATCTTTATCAAGAAACAAGTCAGATCTGTGAAAGTACCTGTGTTAAAATTCAATATATAACCTTTTTATATCTTAAGCAATCCATTTATATATCAAGTGGCTAATTTTCTCATAAGGATGTTTTATTTTATAATTCATAGCTTGCTTATATGACAAACTAGGATAGTTGATATAAAAGATAGTGGTCCATATGTTTGCTTTTTAAAATAACTATAATTTAGACTTTTATTTTAATGCTCTTTCTTCCCTAGTCATTATATATCTAAATTGCTGATTTTAAATGTTTAGTAATTTGAGAAGTATTTTATGATAATTTTCTCATTACATTATAATTATATAGAGAGTATAAGAATGCATTACATGTACTAATTTTTCAACTATCTTGGTATCTGACATTTCACATTTATGGCAATAGTAAAGGAATCTACTATATGACTATTTTGCACATTGACGTTTAGCAGTAGTAACAAATGCCAAGGTGTGAGCTGTGAGTACCACGGGTTGTAATGTTTAAGGTTATATGTCAACTTGGCTTGACCATGATTCTTAGTGATTTGGCTGTTATGTAATGATGAAGGAGTCTTTGATGTTACCTTCCATTTTTACATAGTACTGATTTTCACCTAACTTTTTGAAACCTAAGCATGTCAGTAAGTGAGGAGTGGGTGTATTTTTCTGAAACCTAGATACATTATAACATTCTCTTTTGATCCCCATCCTTAATCCTTGTCCTATCAATTACTTTATCAGATATATTTTCTCAAAAGGTAAAGTTGTGGTTTATTAGCATTTTGATTGTTCAAGGATTTTAATTTTGTAAATAAACAGAAACTAAATCCACCTCTTTAGATGTATTTTGTAATTATTTATTATACATTCAGTTCAAATGTGCATACCATTATTCTAGATACATTGAAAGTGTACATTGAGTATTAGACATGTTCCATGATCTGAATGTGCTTTCAGTCACAGTGAAATAAGGCACGAACACAAAATAATGAGAAAACAGTAAAACAGGATTGTCAGTTGCCAAAATAAAATATGTGAAAGAATCACATAAAAGAATTAGTCAGTGTTAACTGATGAGGCTTTCTGCTCCTGTAAAGATGCACAGCCTCTGAAACCCTGTACAGGGTCACTATGAGTTGGAACCAACTCCACAGCACATAACTACCACTGAGGTAACTATTGTGACCTTCAAAAGATTACAAATAGTTTAATGAAAATATTTCATCTTGATCTTAACCTTGAGATTGAAGAACAAATAGGAGCTCATTCTAGGTGTGCAAAAACCTGAAACAAATATACTTAAAATAGGAATCAGTATATATTCTTGGCTTAATATACCAGACCATCATGGTTCTAGCTATTATAATTATACGAGAAATAGTGAGAGTAATTTATATACACAGCGGTCAGATTCATGTTTTTAAAGCCCTAAGAATTTTGTATTTAACTTTGAACAGTGTGGAAACTAAGACTTTTGAGTGGGTAATGGGCTATAGAGAAGTGTTATTTTAGGAACTTTAATTGGGTGGCTTTAATTAATGACCAATTTTAGATTAAAAATGAATTCTCACCACTAAAAATTTTAGTTCATCATGGATATTTAGAAAATGTTGGTCAGAAGCTCTATTGTGAGTATATAGTTTGTTAGGATAAATATGATGTGTATGTAGAATGGGAAGATGTGTTCAGTAATGCTATAGAATACATTTTGTTCTCATTTGTTAAGTTAGACATTTTATTAATGACTTTTTCATTTTTGTACTCTAAAAACATTTTGTAGTATAATATTTGAAAACCCTTAAATAGAGGATCTTATGGCTATTTTATTGGCTATTGAGAAATGAATTTTCAGTTTTTCTTAGAAGAATACTGGTTTCAGCTTGTTCATCTTAAGATGCTTTATGGCCTATTTAGAATGTTCATATTTTCATAAAAGAAATTTTTGTACTACTTTATAAAAAAGTTTCACTATGACTGCAAGTAGAATAGCTATAATTATTTAATACTTGATAGAGAATAATGTAATACTTTATTTGGAAAGTTTTGCCTAGGTATGAGACTAAACTCTATTTGTCAAGCTAAGTAAAAATATAACTGCCTTGATAGGAAGAACACAAAATTCCAGCTTCATAATAATGTGTGAATCCTAAAGAAGAAGTATGAGGTCAGTCTCCAAGCTGTTGGAATGTTTGCCTTAAGTGCTTTAGGATTACAGTATAGGCCAGGAAAGAAAGACAACTAAACAATATTTTCAGCTTATACGCTCATGCCATTAATAATGAAAATAATTTCTCGTAAATTTGGGTGTTAAAATAAGAACATACCTTTTGAATGGCAAATACTATTATAAACTCCAAGAATTTTATAATGTGGTTTCAATATTTTCACATTTTGTTTTGAATTTATTGATTCAGCCTTTTAATTCTCATATGTAAAACTTTTTAACATCCTTGCTTAAAGCATGAATTGCTCTCAGTGAGTTATAAGTCAGTATTAAACAAAAATTTATGTTCCTTTAAACATTATTGAGACATGTATAAGAATATGTATACTGTAGTTTATATGCTGCATTAATAATGGTTAAATGTATGCTCCTATAGGCAATCTCTTTAAACAGATAAAACTGTTTGGATACGCTCCCAAGATGATTGGATTACCCTCCAGACGTATTTCCTCAACACGATCCCGAATATAACGTGTGTCGTTAGCCTTGCAGAATGTATCATCCGTAATTGAAGTTATGTTGTTAAACTGAAAAATAAAAGGAAAAATTATTTAGAAATGTGAATTCAACTTCTTTTAAGATATGTAATGTGACCCTACAGAATTTTTATCTAAAGAGTGATTTAAAAAAAAATTTCTACATACTATGTCTTCTCACAACAGTATAACCTTCTGTTTAGTCTATGCTTTCTTTTTTGTTGTTTTTTTTTTACATGTAACTATAAATAATACTATATTAGTATAAAATCAGAAAAAGTATGTGCCAGTGTTGTATCCTTTCATCATACTTACTTAGTTTGTATGCTGAGCAAATAAAACTGCACTCTATGAAGAAGAATGTGGCATAATAATTGGAGGAAGACTTATTAACAAACCTGTGTAGTATGCAGATGATACAACCTTACTTGCTGTAAGAAAAAGGACTTGAAACACTTATTAATGAAGCTCAAAGACCACAGCCTTCAGTATGGATTGACTTCAATGTAAAGAAAGCCCAAATCCCTCCAACTGGACCAATAAATACCATCATGATAAATGGAAAAAAGATTGAACTTGTCAAACAATTCTGCTTCAATCTACAATTGACACTCATGCAGGCAGCAGCCAAGAAATCAAATGACATATTGCATTAGGCACATCTGTTGCACAAGACCTCTTTAAAGTGTTCAAGAGCAAAGATGTTAGTTTGAGGATTAAGGAGGACCTGATCCAAGCTATGATATTTTCAGTCTCCTCATATACATATGAAAGTTGGACAAAGAATAAGGAAAACCATAAAAGAAGTGATGCATTTGAATTATGATGTTGGAGAAGAATATTAAAAGTGCCATGGACTGCCAGAAGAACAAATAAATCTGTGTTGGAAGAAATACAGCCAGAATGCTCCTTAGAAGCCGGGATGATGAGACTTCGTGTCTCATACTTTGGGCCTTTTACCAGGAGGGACCCCATCCCTAGAGGAGGACATCTTGCTTGGTTAACTGGAGAGTCAGAGAAAAAGAAAATGACCCTCAGTGAGATGGATTGATGCACTGTCATCAGCAATAGGCTCAATTGCAATAATTGTGGGATGGCTCAGAACCGGGTAGTGTTTTGTTCTATTGTGCATAGGTTCATTATGAGTCAGAACCGACTTTATAGCACGTAACAACTACAACAACAGTTGGAGAAAGTATGCTATTCTAGATTGCTAACTCAAAATGGATACTGTGCTCTTGGCTTCTTTCAAAAAGTGGAAGGGACTAGTGGGAATTCTTGCGATGCTTAGGGACCATTTTTAGTTTAATTATTTTTACTTTTGTATTACCTTTGTTGTTGTTGTTTGTGCCATTGAGTTTCTGATAGTGACTCTGACTAGGGTTTCTGAGGAGCAGCTGGTGGGTTTGAACTGCTGACCTTTTGGTTACCAGTCCATTGCTTATACTACAGTGCTATGCCAGGACTCCTTGCATTATCTTAAGTTGGTGTTAAAAAGTCATTTGAAAGGTATCCCAAAGCAAATGTTTGATGCTGTTTGAGAAAGAAATATAAATCAAAGGCCTCATGACTTTAAATTCATGTGTCAGACTAAGTAGGAAATGCTTAGTGTATACCCACAGAAGAACTCACTCTGAGAAGCAGAGCTCTCCCACCAGACTCTTGCCAGTCATTTGTGATACTCTGGACAGACTGGGCTTTTTGACAGGAGATTGCACTTGTCTAAATATTAATTCTTTTGATAGTTACTTGGATATTTTATTCCCAGCGTAGCAGTGGTGGTACCTGATAGAATCATTGCCTTACATGTAGTAGACCCAGATTTGATTCCTGGGTAATTCATATTATTATCATGCACCACCTGTCAGTGGATGCTTTGTGTAGTATATTTCAGCAGTACTTACAGACTAACACAGTGTAGGATGAATGGTCTGGTGATTTATTCTAAAATCAGTAAATGAAAACCCAGTAGTCCAATCCTTTTGTGTATGAGATTGCCGAGTTAAAGTATCTCCACGGCAGCTAACAACAATGTCAGAACCACAGTAGTCTAACCAAAATTTTCATGTGAATGAGCAGGTTTTTTTCTAATTGACCCATTTTGTGAAAGGAGCAATCATACCTGAAGATGTATGACACGTAGACTTTCTGGTAAATTGAGAGGCACAGATTCCAGTTCATTGTGGTCCAAGTAGAGGTAAGTGAGGTTACTCAGTTTCTGCAATGAAAAGGTAATTTTACTTGATTGTTATTGAGATCAGTACACTTCTTCACAGGATTAAAGCTATATATACATATATGTGTTGATACATATGTATAAATGTTTTGGGTACTGGCAAGGTGATTCTGATTTATAACTGCCCCATGTGACAGAGTAGAACTTATGCTGTAGGATAAGCACTGTACTGCTAACTGCAAGGTCAGTGGTTCAAACTCACCAGCCATTCCTTGGAAAACCCTATGGTGGTGGTGGTGGTGGTGGTGGTGGTATGCCATGGAGTCTGTTCCGGACTCATAGCAACCCTGTATATGGTTTCTGAAGCTGTAAATCTTTATGGAACTAGAAAGACTTATGTTTCTCTTGTGAAACAGCTGGTAGTTTCGAACTGCTGACCTTGAGGCTAGCAGCCGTACTCGTAAACACTACACTCCTTTGGATATCCTATACAGGGTTGCTATCAGAATCAACTTAAAGATAATTAACAGCAACAACAACATACATACATAAGGTTACCATGAAGCACTCTTCCTACAAATATTTATAACAACAAACATTTTGATAACAAGACTATTAATTTGACAATTTTAGCTGCTTATGTAAGGAGTTATCATTAGGAGCTTCAAACCTTGTCTTTGGGGTGAGTTAAGTCTTAGAACAATATCATGATCTTGTAATCTCTTTGTTTTGGATTACTTCCCAGGACTGAGAGTGATTAGAGGTCTTGGACTGAGGTAATCACTTCCTTGAGGCCATCTATTTTGAGATAACTGGCTATCTAAATTCCCTATTTCAAGTCATTTTTTTTTTTTAAGGATTTTATTGTGGAGTTATTGAAAGTTTACAGGCAGATCATCAGTTTTACATTCAACAAATCATGCAACTTGTTTCATTACAATGATAATAATCCATGTACCATCAGTTAACAGTATTTCTCTCTATTCACTTTAGTTCTTTTAAAAAACAACAACAAAAAAAAACCCTCACCAACTCTGCCATATATAATAATTTACACTACCAAAGAGCACATTCTGCAAGTCTGCCTCCTGGCCACCAGCTCTTAGTCCCTCTCTTCCCATGAATCTAGAGTCTTCAGCTGCTCCCTCTCTCCATGTCCCCATCTCTGCCTCCATCTCTGGTATCACTGCTTCTCTGGATAAGGTCTTGCATTCCGCTTGTGCTCTTCTCCCTTGATGGTCCTAGGGTCCTTTGTTTCTGGACTGTAAGATTAACTACTCCCTCCGTTTTTGTTACAAAACTTCTACCTTTACAATTGTGACAATCACAATTAGTCATGATAACAATTACTAGCTATTGAATAATAAGAATCTTATCTACATCTCTTTAAACCAGACCCATCTTGACAAGATGAAAACTATTCAGTGACGACTCTTTCCCCCCCCCCGCCACACACTATTAAACTAACTCCACAATGAAACCTTGTAAGCCAGTCACTTCATGCTTATTTTAATTCGTCCCCTTATTTTAGGTAGCCAGTGTATAAATTGCCCATCTCTGTCTGCCCTCCATACTGAGGGGATAGCATTGATACTTGATGTGAAGACTCCTTCCCTCTCTGTTGGTATTCAGAGTTACTACCTCCATGAGTATGGGTCAAGTTCATCAAATTGTAGAGATTTACCCGTGTTTCCTTTATCAAAAGTAGTTTTGTTCTTTTTTTTAATCTTCCTCTAGTCAAGTTCTGATTATCAAGCCATTGAGCCTAGGTCAAGTGGGTACTGCAACTTTGGGTGTTCATGTGCTCCTCCTCTCACTCCATATCAGCTGGATGCTTCACTCTCTTCTCTAGCCCTCTATGACTATGTTCTTGTCCGTGGGGTCATGTGTCCCCAGGTCTCACCACACTTTGGACCAACCAGCCCTTCTTCTTCTCTCTCACATCTCCAGGTCAACGGGAGTCTATGGAACATGGTTGAACTCAGCTCATTTCTTCATTGCTGCCTTTCCCCCTCTTTCACTCACCAGTAGACCAATATGATTGTCAGCAAGCTTACATGCCTGCTCATGTGTTCCCTTTGAGTTTCAGTCTTATAGCAGGGTTTGTCTTGAAGGAACTTGATTCCTTGCCTTAATGGCTTCCGGGCAAACATCTTGCTTATTCTTGTAGCAGCCAGTCATACTGCCCATTTTGTTTTGGGTTTTTCCTGCTGATCTTTCTTTGAAGATATATCTTGTATTGTTCTAGCTGTTCAGGCTGATCTGCTTGTCCTTTCTAGTGGGAATGTCCCACCTCAGAAGGTTCTGGATGGGGCTCAGGATTCCACCTAAGGTCCTATACAGTACAAAGGCTCCGCAAGAAGCCTGTTTCACTGGACAAGTTGTAGAACCCCTTTAAGTATTCCAATCAGTTATAGGCTGAAGACGGGCTTATAAACTTTCTGTAATCATGTTTCCCGACATTCTTTTCTAACTCAAGTGTCCATTTTACAGTAGTAGGCAAGGGAAATCAATATACATAAGCCAGTCAAGCATCTTATTATTTCCCCTCTTCAGACTATGCCTCGATCAAAAGTCATATATTTTGTAATTTGGTAATTTTCTAGATAATAAAAACAGAGATGTTCCCATTTTGGGTTTTTACCTGATTATAAATGCCATAGCGGAGTGTGGTGACTCCAAACAGTAAGCACTGTAATGGGAACCACAAAGTCCATGGTTTGAGCCCACCATCTGCTCCGTGGGAGAAAGATGAGGCTTTCTGCTTCCACAAAATTTAAAAGCCTCAGAAACCCTATATGGGGTCTCTGTGAGTCAGAACCAACTGGGATACACTTAACAACAATAAGTATTTCTTTGTGGACAAGTGGAAAAATGAGAACAATGCTTTTGGTACTCCTGTGAATAAGATACAGTTTATGTACAAGAGTAAGTAAAAAATTATTTCTAGAAACTTTTATTAAACAAAACTATCAAAATGTGAAGCTGTTGTTTCTTGACATATCCTCCATCTAGGTCTATACACACTTCTGGCATTAGTATTTTCCTTCCCCAAAGAATTCTGATTAACACCATGTCAAAATGACTTTTTTGGCAACTCAAGGGACACAAATCATGTTCCTTTTCAATGTTCTTTGAGTTTGGGGAACACAAATAAGCCTGAAGGGACAAAGTCAGAAATGTACTGTGGATGCGATAAGATTTGCCAGTGAAATTCTTGTAAGACAAGTCTTTGAGACCCTTGAAGAACGAGTAGGTGCATCGTTCTGATGAGATTAAATTCCTGAGCACAACTTTCCTAGCCTTTTTCTCACTAATGTAGTTTTCGGTTTTCTTAAAACTTCTTCCTAATAAGACCATGTGATTGCCCTACGTCCTTTGAGAAAATGTATCAAGATTGTCTTGTTGGAATTCCCTCCTGAGTTACCAGAACCTTCTTAACCGACCTTTGTCTACCTTGAACTGGCCTATTAGATTCCCTCAGAAGTCACTATTTTGATTGCCTCTTTTTTGGAAGCCATCTTAATGAGATTAAGACAAGTGTATTCCTGAGAGAACGTGTCTGCAGCCATGCACTGATTACAGAGAGATATTCAAACATGTTTTGTTTGGAATTAATCCATGCATGTAAGAACTGGAGCCCTATAAGCAATACATTTTTTACTTACCCTTGTATTTTATTTGATATACAGGCATAAATTAAGTTGGACTAGCCTAATTGCTTGGTTATTAATTACATAAATAATTGCTTCATTAGTAAATTAAAATAGTTTTGTTTTAAAGCTCTACACAGCATACTTATGAGTCAGAAACAACTGGATAGCACTTAACAATAATTATTCTGTAATCAACACAATTTTGAATCCATTTCTCTTTCATTGATCATGGACTGCATAGAACTGACTTTGCATTCATTCATATTCTAAAATACTTACTTTGAATGTGTTTGCTTTGATTCCTCTACTCTTGATTTTGTTGTCTTTTGCATTAAATAAAGTAAGAGTGGAAGGAAGAACTGGAAGTTTCATTAGTTGATTGTCAGCAAGTGAAAGCTCTTCTAACAGAGAAAGTTTTGAAAAGGTACTGTCTTCTATATCTTTGATCAAATTTCCCGTAAAATCAAGTCTTCTTAAGTTTGCTTGAGGAGAAAATATACAAAAAGAACAGAAAATATAGACAAGTTATTGTTAAATTCTAATTTGTGTAGTGCAAAGAAGGGCATTTATTTAACAGATTATTCAAACATCTAATTTTTAGTGCCTGACAGAGTATCTGCAATTAGTAGCTCAGTACAGTTCTGCTGAACGAATTTTGAACATTTACTTTGTGCTTGCCCCTTTTGACCTTTTCACTAGAAATCATAGAATCCCAGGTTTGGAAGGAATCTTAAAGTTAATAGAGTCCTTACAGTTTTCTATGTTTTAATTCCTCAGGATGCTCAGTTAGCTTGAAAGAAATTCTTGGGGCAAATCACTCAAAGTAAGCATTATTTTTTATTTAATAAAATCATGTAAAATATGAGGGAGCTCCAAAAAGTTCATGAAAGAATTCCGTGCTCTTTAAATTCCATTTTTCCACGAACTTTTAGAACCGTTGATTTTTTGCCAACTTGTTACATTATGACTTTTGTTATTTTCATCTTGACTTTGACTTTTTGTTTAATAGTCTCAAAAACAAAAATGCCCCCTGATTTGTTAAAGGATACAGACTGAGAGATAGAGCAACTCATTCTTTCTGTGTGTGCATGTGTTTTACTTTTGTCTAGGGCAATTAGAAAACACTTTAGACAATAATGTATAGTGGGCCCAGCACACTTTTATAGTGTGAATTTTTTTTTCTCCCTGTAGAAATACTTGGCAGCATAGGAGTCAAGAAAATTGAGATGTTGGTAATGCAGATATGGGAGTTCTAGGGTGGTCATGACAATATCTTAGTGGCAAACTGTTGAATTATGATTTGGTAAGAAGCCCGAAGTATAAGATTGTTAATAAATTGGGAGAATTAAAGAGTTAAAATGTTATTGTCAAAGCCTAGTTCCACATTAGAATCAACTGAGGAGTTTGTACTGGTTGCTTTTAAGCCTCTCCCCAGACTTGGACTAAAATATATGGAAAATAGGTGATGATGCCAGTATTTGGAAAGCATTTTCCTAAATATTTTTAATAGACAGTCTCGGTTAAAAACCATGCACAAGTAAGGAAAAGTTTTTAAGTGCCTTCAAGTTTGTTCTGACACATAATGACCCTGTATAGGGTTTCCGAGGAGTGGCTGGTGCGTTTGAACCAACGACCTTGTTAGCAGTCCAGTGCTTATCCCACAGCACCATACCAGGACTCCAAAGGAAAAGTAATGTCTGTGAAATTATCATGAAAGTAGAAAATAAAACATTGCGATTGAAGATGCAGCCTAGTTTTATCAGTGCTGCTGATATAAGTAGATCTGGAAAGACTGGAGTTGGCCATCATGATAAATGCCCTATCAACTCAGACACTGAAGAAGTCACCAGTTAGGGAAGGTGAGAAGGAGCATGTAAACAGTAATAAAATTCATCAGGCAGCCAATTTATTTTTGTGAAGTATGTTGTTGTTGTTATGTGTTGTGGAGTCAGTTCTGACTCATAGCGACCCTATACAGGGTTTCCGAAGCTGTAAATCTTTACAGGAGCAGAAAGCTGGTAGTTCCAAACTGCTGTCCCTGAGGTTTGCAGCCTGATTCGTAACCACTACGCTATCAGAGCTCCTTTGAAAATACTTAAATAAACCAACAGTGACAACCCTGGGTGTAATAGATCACAAGTACTTATAAATCCACATTTTTTAAAAAAACAAACATTAGTTAAATAGTAGTGTCCTGTTTAAAATTAACTTACGTATGTCTGCAAAATCTTTGGCAGTCAACTTTGTAATTCTGTTGAATCGTGCATAAAGGTAGGATGATTCCTTTGGCAAGGGTGGTACAACGTCAATATCAACTTCTTCACAGTATACAGAGCCAAGTAAACAAACACATAGCAGGCACGTGGGCATTTCTAAATTTGGAAACATAACCATAGAAGTATTTTTTATTGAAGAAAACCTCTTCTTTTTCCTGCAGAGTGGCTGGTGGTCTTGAACCACTGACCTTGTGATTTGCAGTCTGTGCTTATTTTAACCATTTTCTCCAAAAGTTTAAATAGATGTTTAAGAATATTTAGTCCTTTGTGGTAAAATAATTGCTATCATGAGTACTTACACTAATTTGAAAAGATATGTTACAGAACCATAGTCATAGTAGTTAAAAACACTTCTCAAGGTAGCATTTTTATCTCTGTAGCCCTTCCCTGAAGAATTCTGTACCTTTCCATTTAGACCATGTCAAAATGGCAATTTTAGAATCCTTAAGTGACTCAAATCTTGTTCCTTTTCAATATTCTTTGAGATCTGTAAGGAAAAAGTCTGAATGGGAAAGATCAGGGCTGTAGGGTAGATAGGGTCAAGTTTCCAAGGGTACTCTTATACCCAGATTGTGCAAGAAAGATGACACTATCTGCTCCTGTAAAGATTTACAGTCTTGGGAACTCTAAGGAACAGTTCTACTCTGTCCTGTAGGGTTGCTCTGGGTCGGAATGGACTTGATGGAAGTGGTTTGAGTTAAACGTTGGGCTGTTAACTAAAAGGTCACTAGATGCTTTACAGGAGAAAGATTGTCTACTTCTGTAAAGATTTACAATCTTGGAAACCCTATAGGGAGTTCTACTTTTCCCTGTAGCGTTGTTTTGAGTCAGAATGTACTTGAGAGCAGTGGGTTTATCCCCATTCTATTTGGAGTTTATTTTCTGTATGGTGTGAGGTATGGATCTAATTGCATCCATTTTTAAATATCTACCTAGTTGTCCCAGCAGCATTTCTTCCCCCTTTTAATTGTAGATATATATACACACACACACACACACACACAATGGAGTCCTGATATGCCTCTGTGGACTAATGCACTGGGCTTAATTTGTCCTTAATAAGCAATTTGTTGTTTTATGATAAGTTGTTTATTTTTTAAATATAAAAGTACATTGTCTATATAGACCTCTCCTGTTTCTTGAAAACAAGGCTTGTGTTTATTTTCCTGCTCCTTAGGTTTTACATTGTTGGTGGTGGTGAGTCTGTTTCATTCATAGCAACCCTGTATAGGATTTCCAAGGAGTAGCTGGTGAGTTTGAACCTCTGATCTTGCTGTTCAAACTGATCTTGTGGTCCATTGCTTATCCTACAATGCTATACTAGGACTGCATAATATTTGGCAAATAATGGGTGTTTAATAAGTATTTTTCAATTGATTTTGTTTAGAAACACATTTATAATCTTTGTGGAGTATAGACTTGGACTGAGTTTTTTCTTCAATGTTCCTATTTCACATTTATTGCTCATCATGTTGAGAGTCCTGGTGTGGCACTGTAGGGTAAGCATTGGACTGCTAAATGCAAGGTCCGTGGTTGAAACCTACCAACTGCCCCTTGGAAACTCTGCACAGGGTTGCTGTGAGTCAAAAAGAACTTCATAGCATTTAACAACAGCAACAACTTATAATGTGGTATGGCAAATTATATGCACACCCAATATATGTTTGATTTTATCATTGCAGGTAAAATCCCATTTTTGGGGTTTAGTATATCCTGAAGCAACTTTGGTTACTGTTCTTGTTAGTTGCTGTAGAGTTGATTCCACTCATGGCAATCCCATGTGTGCAGAGTAAAACTGCTCCATAGGGTTTTCAGGGCTGTGATCTTTCAGACACATATAGCCAGGCCTGTCTTCTAAGTCGCTTCTGGGTAGGTTCAACTAATCTTTTGATTAGTAGTCTAGTATTTAACCATTTACATCAACCATGGACTCCTTTAACTACTATAAGAAATACAGATTTATTATAAAATATGCTTTTAAAGATCCCTTTTGGGAAATATTTTAGATGGCAGAGTGGTAATACTTACCTTCATTTTCTTTCTTGGGGAGTAAGGTTACACTCTCATCTTTTTGTAATTGAAGAGTTTTCTCATTAAGTTCTCTTTCCTATTGGAAAATAAAAGTTTACTACCAGGTAAAATAAATCAAGTTTTGACTGTTCGACTGAGGGATTACATTTATTTATGTCATGGCTACAATTAGTGACATTTCTTGTATGTCCATAGAGGATTGTATGCATAGCTCTATGAGTAAAAGAACCAGATCTTTTCATTAAAAAAATACTTTTAATAGCTGAACTCAGTTCTTACTAAGTGTTGAACATAATTGAAATTCAAAATGAGAGCTTAGAAGGGATTCTCTGAATTGAAATGAAAAGTTTTCTCAGTTGAACACCTGTAATGAAGGTACTATTTTTGAAATCATCTCTATATGTTGTTGTTGTTGTTATTGTTAAGTGCCATTGCGAGTCGGTTCCAATGCATAGTGATCCTGTATAGAGTTTCCGAGGAGCAGCTGGTAAGTTTGAACTGCCGACCTTGCTGTTCAAACCCAGGACCTTGTGGTTTAAACTGACCAACCTTGCAGTTGAGCACTTATCTTATAGCAGCACACCAGGAGTCCCTCTTATGGTTCTAGTCTGAAACTGAGTTCTTTGATCAGATTCTCCTATTTTTAATAAGAGCAGTACAAACACCAGTGGTGTTACACTTGCAAAGTGTAAGTTTTGGGGCTTTCTGGTAGTGACGTTTTGAGTGACATAGATACTTCTATTATGCCTATACACTAGAGCTATTTTTAGAATAATATGTTACTGTGTTTTCAGTGAAGCGTTACACAGCAATAAAGTTTCCCATTCAACAGTGTCTGCACAAATAGTTCAGTGACATTGGTTACACTCCATAATGTGTGAACAGTTTCATGATTTCCATTCTGATTATTCCATTTACTTGGAGCTCTTTCATGCAAACCTACTTATTCACCTGGAGTCCTGATGTGGTCTTGTAGGATAAGCACTGGATCACAAGGTTGCTTTAACCACAAGGCCGGCAGTTCAAACACACTAACCACTCTTCTGTATAGGATCACTATGAGTTGGAACCAACTTGCAAGCACTTAATAATACACCTACCCACCTGGCTTTATACCACCAATCTACTTCTGTCAATTCTGGGGGATTGTGGTGTTATATCTTTTGCTGTCTCCATTTCCCATTCTTTTGTTGTTGTTAAGTGCCATCGTGTCGATTCCGATCCATAGCGACCCTGTATATGGTTTCCAAGGAGTGGCTGGTGAGTTTGAACTACCAACCTTGCAATTCAAACAGACCTTGTGGTCAAGTGCTTATCCTATAGCTCCACAAAGGGGAGTACATTTTCTGGTATTACACTGAAATCTACTACCTACAGTCATAATCTTTCCTGGTAAGCATTTTTTCATCTTTAGTCTCAATCTCAAACTCTGCCCTTAGCCTTAATTGTCCCACATGTGAGCTAATTGAACATTTCTTCTTCTGCTCTACAATTTTGTATCAAGTGCCACTAAATTCTGCTCTCCTTTAAAAATACCTTACTCCTGGCATTTATTAGGATACAGAAACTTCTAATACCCTGTGAAAAGAAGAAACAGAACAAATCATGTCTAGCCTTTCTAATTTTTAGAGGCCAGGGAATTGTGGAAGTGTTTTTGTGATTGATTGATAGGGTCAAATCATGTTGAAAGTAGCTTATGTTTTGTATTTGAAGATTTTGCTAAATATATCTGTCTTTTTTGGTAAAAAAACAATACTAGTGTATTAACAATTCCGTTGAAACAAACTGTGGTGTTAATATTTGCTCACTGTATATTTAAAGTTGTTAATTATAGTAATAGGTCAGTCTGAAAGTCTGCCATTTACTTATACTAGAGAAGACATTTTAAAGCAATCAGTATTGTACAAGGGGACTTCAAAAAGTTCATGGAAAAATTACCTTTTTCATTTCATTTTTCTATGAATTTTTGATGTACCTTCATATATTTGATTACATTTCTCATTTTCTGTTATTTGTGTGTGTATGTGTGTGTGTGAGAGAGAGAGAGAGAGCGACAGATTAGGCAAATGATTCTTATATGCAATATTAACTTTTTCCTTACTTAGCCTTCATTTCTTTCTACCAAAAAAGTGTAATTAATTACTTAGCCAATAAAGGGGTAGTATGATTGTTGTGGTTTAAAAGTCATCCTTACAAAGTACTGACTCAATTACAGTTATTTGGTACAAATTGATAAAGGGTCTAAATTGTTAAAGCTGATTAAAAATAAAAGTTCCATATTAAATAATTTTTCATTTTTTGGTCCTGTGTATAGTTGTCATATGTAAATTATTGTAAAATGCCATATATACCAAAATAACCAGTACTTGTCTGTTCCTTTCCTTGAATTATTTTTTCCTGAAATAAGTCTTAAGCTGAGAATCCATCTTTATTTCTCCTAATGCTCATTTCTCCTAATTTACTTTTGAAGCAATATAATATGTATTTATAAGGCACTGTGTAACATTACTTAGCATATATATCTTAATGGGTGAGGGATTATTTTAAAACCTAGATTTTCTAAAGTTTTAATTTTTGTTACTATTGATACTTTTTGGTTACCATAACCAAAACTCAAAACCAGACCCACTGCCATCGAGTTGATTCCAGCATATAGCTACCCTGTTTATTAAGTTGGAAGGCATGCATACCTTAAATATGTAATTTTATGGACGATTACTTTTGAAGCATTTAAAGTGCTTCAGTTTCCCCTTACCTTACCACACACGTTTAAGAAAAACAAAAGCATGCAGATTTCTACTATTTTAGAAGTTGAGTTTAGAGTAGAAATAAAGTACCTTAATATTTTTTCCATCCAGGTATTTATCCTCGTAATCATGGCTATATAGGGTTTCTTCAAAATTATCTGTTCCATAATCACTGATAGTGCGTAAGTCTTGCTGAGTTGGTGGTGCTGGCTTTATCAGAGGCACAAACAGCAACAGAAGAAGTATAGACTTCAGAGTCTTCATTTTAGTAAAAATCAATGTGACTGGAAGTTAATAACTAGTGACCAGCTGACCGTGGGACTATAGTCTCTTTTTCCCTGGAAATAAAAAGGCAGACCATCGAAACAATACTTAAAGCTTACAGGACTTCTTGGCAGGGTTTTAGCATTAGGAGCCAGAAACCAACTATTTAACCCTTAGTGATCTTTAATTAGATGCTAACATTTTAATTTATCAGTGAATATTCTGAAAAATAGTTTCAGGAAATAGTTGCATTTCTTCTGTACCAAAAATTTCAAGCAATGTTGATCATTTCAGTGTCTTCATAATTAACTGCTGTGAGCTGAGATATTTGTTTTACAGTTGGAATCTTTTTAGGATACCTATAGTATAAATAGTTAAAATGAAGACTCAAGGTTCCGTCTCATGTGAGTTAGATATCGTATTTCAACTTTGCAGCTTTATAAGAATTCTTGATTTGCACTGGTATAAACGGACACAAGATCAGAGAGAAACTTTAAAACTTAAATTTTGATTTAACATCATGAAAAGCATTCATTTAGACTTACTTTTAGATTGTACAGGAAAAGCCATACATCTTTCTTTCCCCAGTTTTATAATTTTAATGGATATCACTGTTATTTTTATCTATTATTTAAAATTTTTTAAATTATGGAAAATATACCCCAAAGCAGAATTGAATACTACAGGAAATAGGACTTAAATCAAAGAACTAAGTGAATGTAATAGAAAGATTCTTTTAGGGCTACTAGTGGATTTTGTTTTGTGGGTGTGCATTCTGACTTTTTTGAAAGTAACATCTAACACAATCACTCTGAATTGCTAATGTGTCATTTTAATGCCAATTCGTAAAAAAAAATACAGTGGTTGAATATTAAGATATAATGATTATCTAAAAGCATTTAAGCACTCGTTATATAAAAATATTTTTAAAAGATTTTTCAAGATAACTGAAACTTAAAATAATTAAACAGATGGGCTTTTGGTTTATTAAGAAAGTAACATGAGTCATACTTTGATAAACAATATTTAAAATAATTAGTTAATAAAGAGCCTACCTACCGTTAGCTGCTTTGAAGTTTTTGTTTGGTTTTCCTCAATAAATGTTCATTCCTGTGTATTAGTCCTAAGTGGGAGGTGAATGAGGAAAGAAAGCTGTGGATTGATTTCAAACTGCTGAATAAAATTTTAGAACCAACAGCATTAAAAGTACTTTCCATGTGGTAGAGATCTTTGCCAACATTCTTTCTCTAGGGTGAAATGTGTATTATACTAGAGCACTGTGCTTTAAATATTTGTAACTGTTGTATTGTTGGCTTCTACTAATATACTGTATTTTCATTTTATTTTTACCTTGTGCAAGAAACACTAATGTTTTAAATTATGAAGAAGACATAGTTGTAAAGTTGTATTTTTCATTTTAGTAATTTCCTAGAATATAAGATTTTGTTGTTTTTTCAGTGAAACAGAAGATTATACCAAGGTACAGTCTATACTTTTAATTTTATGAGGAATAAAAATATATTTTAGTATATTCAAGAACTTTCCAATATGAAAGTTAGTTTTAGCATAAATTATTTTATATTTGATCACTTTGGGCTTTTCCCCCCTTTTCTATAGTTGCATATAACAAAAATCCAAGTGTGAAATCACTTTTATTAAAAATATAGATTTTTAATTTTGGGTTTGATAGTAAAATATATTTTTGTTTGCTAAATGAATGGGATTGTATAAAAATTATTTTGACATTAAATTTGATTTCAAAATATTAAAGTGGTATTTTAAAGTTTCACTTTTGGTTTTTTAACTTTTTTTCCCTCTAAGCTAATGTTTAACAAATACGTGTAGATATACTATAAAAACATAGAATACTAATATGTTTTCTATTGAAAATTGACTGTTGCTTTTGTTGTCAAGTTTGTTTAGACTCATAGTGTTGCCAAAGAGTGGTTAATAGGTTTGAACTGCTGAACTTCAGATTAGTAGTCCAGTGCTTATCCAACAGTGCCACCTCAGGACACAAAATCAACATTTAAGTGCTGTCGAATTGGTTCCAATGCATAAGATTTCCAAGGAGCAGCTGGTAGGTTTGAACCTCTAACCTTGGTGTTAGCATTTCTTATCCTACAGCATCGCACCAGGACTCTAATGGTTAACGATCGCAAGCATTTCTTCATATGTTTGTTGGTCACCTGAATGTCTTGTTTGGTGAATTGTCAATTCATGTTTTCTGCCCATTTAAGACTTTTATTATTTTTTAAAACTTTTTATTGTGACTTGAGTGAGGGTTTACAGAGCAGATAATCAGTTTTACATTCAGCAAATCATGCACTTTGTTTCACCTCAGTGATTGCAATCCTCTCAATATAATATTACTTATCCAACTTTCACCCTGTGATTCTTGTTTCTATTCCTCCTTCTTTCCTAACCTTCTGAATTTTGTCCTGGGTAAATGCTGCCCTTTAGATTTTGAATGGTTGACTGTTTTATAGTGTGCATTCCTCACTAGTGTTGTCCCAGTATATACCTATATATTTTGTCTGAAAATTGAGTCACCTGAGTGAGTTCAGTTCTAGACCTAAAGGGTAACCAAAAGGCTATGGTCTCGGGTTGCACCAGTATAGTCTGTCAATTTTTAAATTGGATTATTTGTCTTTTGTATTGTTGAGCTGTTGATGCTTTCTATAAATATTAGGGATTAGTCCCTTATTTGATGTCATTGGCAACAATATGTTCCCATTCTTTGAGTTCTCTTTTGGTGAAATCTTTGTTGTTGTTTTTAAGTACCATGTAGTTGGTTCTGACTCATGGTGACTCTTTATAGGGTTTCTGAGGAACAGCTGGTAGGTTTGAACCACCAGCCTTACAGTTAGCAGTCCAGTGCTTATCCTGCAGCACCAAGTTTTTATTTGGTCCCAATCATCTAGTTTATATGTTTTCAGTTATATTTGATAGTGTATTTTATGCCAGGGTGCTTAAGTTTGTCCCTAGTTTGTTACTGATGATCTTTATAGTTCTAGGTGTTACATTTAGCTCTCTCATCCATCTTGAGTTTGTTTTTCATATTGGTCCTGTTTCATTCTTCTGTAAATGGATATCCAGTTTTTCTAGCACTATTTGTTAAAGATTCTATCTCTTCCCTATTTAATGTGTTTTTGCCCTTTGTGAAAGATCAACTGTCTATAGGTGGATAGATTCACTTCTGCTTTCTCAGTTCTGTTCCATTGGTCTGTGTGTCTGTTGTTTTACTAATTCCAGACTGTTTTGACCACCCTGGCCTTGTAGTGAGTTTTAAAATCAAGAACTGAGAAGCCTCTTCTTTAGTAATGGTTTGCTTTTCCAAGGTCTCTTTTCTTTTCCATATAATGTTGTGGATTATTTTTTCCATCTTTTTAAATAATACTGGAATCTGGATCTGGATTACATTTTATCTGTAGAATACTTTGGGTAGTATTGACATTTTCACAATGTTAAGTCTTCCTATCATGGTGAGCATGTTGTTTTCCCCTTTATATAGGTCTTTTTGGTTATTTATAGTAGTGTTTTATAGTTTTCTTTATATACTTCTTTTGTTTCTCTGTTTAGGTTTATTCCTAAGTATTTCATCTTTTGGATGGATATTTTAAGTGGTATTATTTTCCTGATTTTCTTTTCAGAGCTTTCTTTTTTCGTGTAAAGGAATCCGACTGATTGTTGTGTGATCTTGCCCCCGGCCACTTTGCTGACTCTTTCAGTTACTCCCAATATATTTTCTTGCTGAGTATTTGGGATTTTCTATGTATGTTATGGTAAAGTGCTGTCAAGTGGTTTCCAGCTCATAGTGACCCTGTACAGGGTTTCCAAGGAGCAGCTGGTGAGTTTGAATCACCAACCTTGTGATTCAAACCAACCTTGCAGTCCAGTGCTTTATCCCACAGTGCCACACTAGGATTCAATTTTCTATGTATAGAATCATATTATCTGCAAATAGAGTTTTACTTCTGTTTTGCCAGTGTGGACGTCTTTAATTGTCCTTTCTTGCCTTATAGCTCTGGCTAAGATTTCTAACATCATATGGTACAAGAGTGGTAGTGATAATGGGTATCCTTGTTTGGTTCCCATTCATACAAGCAAAATGCTTTCAGTTTCTTTATGTTGTTGGTGATGGGTTTCTTATATAAGTTATTAATTATGTCTGTTTAGTGTTTTTATCCGGAATGAGTATTGGATTTTGTCAGTCAACATGATCACGTGCTGCTTTTCCTTTGTGTTTTATTTGTGTGGTGGATTATGTTGATTTTTTTCTAATATTGAACAATCCTTGCAAACCTGGTATGAATCCCACATAGTCATGATGTGCTTTTTTTGTTGTTGTTTGGCTATATTGCTGCATTCTGTTGACTAGGACTTTGTTGAGAATTTTTGCATGTATGTTCATGAAACATATTTGTCTATAATTTCCTTCTTTAATGATGTCTTTGCCTGGTTTTGGTATCAGGTTATGCTTTCTTCATAAAAGGAATTCAGGAGTTTCCCATCCTTTTCTATGCTCTGAAATGTTTTGAGTAGAAATGATATCAGCTCTTCTTTGTAAGTTTTGTAGAATTCACCAGTGAAGCCATCTGGACCCAGACGTTTTGTTGTTAGGAGTTTTTCAATGAGCTGATAAATTTAATAAAAGTCTAGTGAGCACCTGTTCTGTGCCAGTGATGTAGATATACAGACATGTAAAATTCTGTTTCTCCCTTTAAGGAACTTACAATCTCTGAGTTTTTTGGAGAGGCCATATCCAAGTGGTTAAAATTAGTGGTTTGAGGCGATTTAGTGATGACTGTAAAATGAAATCACAACAGTCCTGAATTTTAAAAATTTGTGTGAACTAGAACAAGAAAAATTTAAGTTTAAGCTGTAGAACAGGAAACTCAGAAGTATATATAATAAGTCCTTTCAGGGTTGTAAGACAGGAGATTGAATTATTGCTGAGGCTGTGGAGGATGACATACATCCAAAATGCGCATTTGGCA